TAGGTATTTAAAGTTTACTGAACCTTTATTAATAAGTCACATAAGCTCCCTTTCTAATTCATGTAGGGAATTAAGACACTCTAAGAGGAAAGTGTCGTCCAGACATAGGTGCCGTGTCCCACCTTTGATGTGTGAGTTGGCATATCACGGAAGGGAGAATATTAATCAGTAATCTGATTTAGAAAATCCCTTGTATTTCTCTGGTCCTATACTATATATATTTAAAGAGATATGTGTAATTGTTACAGCTTAGAAATAATAAACATACTAATTATGTTGAAAATCATGTTGAATTAGTAATAAAATTTATTAAAAATCAAAAAGTTCAACTCTGGGAAAGAAATATGTATTTCCTGAAGAAAGCTCCTACTGAATGTATCAGTGAGTAGCATTGTATGTTTTTAAATGAAGAAAAATTGCATGAGAGTTAAAAGAATACCATAAATCATCTTCTAACTAAGGAGTATAAATTCATATATTATTTCTTCAATTTCTTCAATTATTAATTTCTATATGTCCTCTTGGAGCTTATCACTATGAAATTCAACAATGTTCTTTCCACAAGAATTATTCATGACAGATTCCGAAAACCAGAGATGACTGAGACACACAGCAAAGCAGTGTGGAATATTCAAAAGTGTGTTTCAGAAAGCCCAAATATATATTCCACTGAAAGCCAAGAGAGCTGAAGCGTGAGGGGAAAATAAGACAAACACAGCTGACCAGGGAAATACAGTAAGCAATAAAAGAACGGATAAAGGCATGCAAGACAGATAAATCAATGGGGTCATCGCTGTGAGCAGGGATAAACAAGTCTAAAAAATAAGCAAATAAGGGGATGATCACAAAAGCCAAAATTGGAAATGGAGAGAAAATTGCAGAAGCTATAAGGACAAACAATAACAGATTTCACAAATATACGAGGAACAAGAGGTCAATGGGAGAGACTGTCATCTCCGTATGTGGTCGGGAGGGTAAGTTAGTGGCAGAGGCTGCTGGGAAGCCGACGCTGCCTTCCCCTCGGCGTGCTCACTGGAGAGACCACAGGGAGCATGCCAGAAACAGAGACAAGCATCCTGGAGGCAGAATCTGAAAAATTAATGAAACAAAGGATGAGAGCGGAACAGGTTAAGAAAGAAAAAGAAGAAAATAGGGCAGCTAAACAGTAGGCTCCAGGTCTGGTGACCTGTTTCCCAGGTTTCTGAAAGGCGGATTTTTTTTTTAACTCTCTCGAACTATGAAGTCTATAGTACATGAGGTATATATAAGCTATATGAGTTATATAGTTGAAGAGCAGAAGGAAGCCAGTGCAAGACAGTATTCTCAAGGTTTTATAAGAAAAAAGCCATGCAATGATAGCTTTATAAACTATAAATCCAAGCACAGGCAAAACCAAATTCAGGGTTGTAGAGAGAATGGGCAGCACATTGGTACAAACTAATGAGGAAAGAGTTTACAAAAGCTGAGTCGGAGTTAACTAACATAACTGATTTCCTTGGAAAAGTGACGTATTCCCAAGTCTGTAGTGCTGGACCCAACCCTTAAAATATACAAATGTTTGTTTCTGTTAGTTGCTGATGTGTCCTCAATTTTGATTTTATAAGCAAAGGCACTGAGAATAGATAAATAAAGTGAAAAAACTAAAGTCAAATTCACAACTGTACTTGAATAGCTGAGTTGCAAATAGTTACTTAATGTGATTTTTTAAAAGCATCAAAGCCGGTCAGGCAGCTAACTGGCATTGATTTCCATTGCCAGTTACGCACTTTCCAGGGAGGCCTGAATCCCAAGTAATGTCTTAGATTCTCACAAACTTTATAAAATGTTGTGTAGAAAAGCATAAAGCCATGAAAAAAAAATGAAAGATGACCAAAAATGGCAATGACAACAATTTATTTCTACCTTTGACCAATAATTTGTTTCTAAAAAGTCATGCAGTTATACTTAGATGCCAAATACAAAAATTAAACAACAGTTCAAAACAAAATAGATATATTTGATATCCTACTGTGTTCTTCCCCAGTTCCCAGACTATTGTGAATTCCAAAGGGGATTGTTAGATGAAAACTTTTGCAAGTATTTAGTGTTATTAACTGAACAAAGATTGGGGCAGGGTGGGGTTAATGTTCTGGCTTTAATGTGACAAAATTCAAGTTTACGTCATCTCCAGTGACCAAAAATTTTCACAGTTTCACATCTTGATGGTTTTAGCTCAGAGCTGCCTGAAGTGTCATCTTTACCTCTTATAATGTAAGAAATGAAATCCTGGAGATTTCTGGGGCTAAGCCTACTCACATCTTTGAAAATAAAGATCAGGATTTTGAGAAAATATCATTTAATGATAATGGCATTGAAGAAGCTATAGTGAGGCTAATATGCATCACAAAGAGAAGGAACAGAAATCAAGAAAGCAAGACACATCCACTCAGTAAATGTTATCCTGTCTGCTTAAATCCCATTGAACTGATATGCAAATTTCTAAAATCTGCCTGAGCCCCAGGCTGTGACCCATTCCTGTTTTCCAGGATGCAGCCTCTGTTAGGCACCTAAATGAAACAGATTCCTCCCTACTTATCCAGCCATTTCCCTGGGCACTACATACACTGAAATTCCAGTTCTAAGGAAAAATTTGCCTGCCTTCTCTCAGAGCTCCATATGGAGGGTTTAAATAGAGAGCTCCTGAACCCCCATAGCACTCCCATAGGGGAGAAGCCAAAATAAACCTGGTGTGGTCAGAACTACAACAGTGCTTCTCTTTTGCCCCAGGTTTTAGGCACTGTCCAGACTGATGGAGATAGAACTTCTCTTTCTGCCCTGACTGTGATGATGTGGGATATTTTCCATGAAAATAAGTCCCACCTTTCCTCTTGATTCTGAGCAGCTGGGTCCTGACCAAGAGGAGGACTCACAGGACAAGAAGCAGGACAGTCATTTGGCAGCGAGCAGTAGTGGTGGCCTAGGGACAAGTATTTCCACTGTATTTATAGGTTTTACATTGAAGCATCTTTGTATAGAAACAAATATAGTCCAAAGAGAAGACACCAGAAGCTCAGGCCTCCTCTTTTCCCAGGTTTAGGGCTCTTAAATTAGTGAAGGTTTGGGCTTTTGCTTGCCTGCTGTGTATCAGACTGAGTTTCTTGCAGCCAGCTGCACAGGGGCTCACCTTCTAGAAGAGGATGCTCTTCCCTGGGATATGCCACGCGACCTGCTGGATGGAGCATGGTCCCAGGATCTGGAGGATGTAGGTCTATTCCCCCGTCTAGCCTGCACCATTAGGCCTCAACTTTGGTGTCGGTGTCTAGACATATCCTGTTAGGACTACTACCCCATACCCACCCCCAAATGAGGAGGATTAGAATCTGGCCAGCTGGAAGTACTTAAAAGTTACTCAGTATTTTTTGATAGTGTTAATGGAGGGAGGTGTTTAATATAGGCACACTGGATTAGACTTTAAAGACACCTATAGTCCCTACGCAGAGAAAGAGGTGTCTGTGTTATGCAGAAAAGGTCTCCCTTAGCAGGTTTTCCATGATGAATACCATCTTTTGTGATTGTGTATGTTCCTTAGATATGTGTGTGCCAGGCAGATCGAGTCAGCCTTCCTGTGAACAAGTGCTTTAAAATTTAGGTAAGACAATGGCTAAGTTCAGCACTTAAATAAAATGGTTAGGCACTTAAATAAAATGCTTGTTACCTAAGTAGTGGTTTAAGTTACGGGGTTGCATAGCTGCTGGGATGCTATTAAATCAGATCAAGATCACGAGCATGCAGACACCACAAAAAGCGCATCTGTAGTACTACATGCGGTGAAACCCCCTGTTTTTCAGTGGTCTGTCAATGGAATATGAAGCATTATTAGAGTGGAAGAAAATGATAAAGATCCTCAGTGTTTTGTAATCGGGATAAAAGGAACAAACATAACGTAAAAGAGGATGTTATAAGTAGATATGCAGAAAGGGCTAGAAAGAACAGTTTAAATGTCCCAAAACTAGTTAATCACAGGATGAAGACTAAAATCCAATGTAACTTGAGTAGCATTTATAATCACACAATAAAAAAGTTCAAAGAGGAAGTTCTTCAAACAAAAAGTAATTTGTGTGTGCAGTCACTCCATGTAGGAGGTTATAGGGGTTACTCAAGGGTGATCACATTCAACAAACACAGATTATATGACCTTGGAGAAACAGGTGGCTACTCTGGTAGAAGACTAGAATTCTGAAATGCTGTTTATGTTACAGTGCATTAAAATGATCGATGAGGAAGTGGTACTCAACTTTGAAAAGTTTGACTTCCTTCACTGACAGAGGATTTTGTTTACTGTTTGATTTTTTCCAATGTGAGAACACTTCCAACACTGGCCATGAAAACTGTTGGTTTTGCTTGCGTTGGGGAGCTTGCTTTCCCATTTACCCAGCCTTGCAACATATAATGGAGCACAGCAGTGGAGAATTTAAGAGCAATTAATCATTTATAGTAATAACAACAAACAACAGTGTTAAGAATGTGGTCATATTTTCATTATTTAAATAGCATTGAAACATATCTTAATTGCACACAATCAAAACCTTACTGAATATTATACAATTATGAAGCGTTGCTTTATTCCTGATTGTTGTACTGATAGCTAACAGCTAGGATAAGACTGCTGGTTTTTAACTATATTCATCTGCCTTAGGAAAGATTGTAACATGCAGAAGAGAGAAAAGAATGAAAAGGAAAAACATACATTTGTATCAGTTCTGCAACTGTTATGCTGGCATGTACGTGTGACACTTTCAGGCAAATAATGGTTGTTTGCAATTTCACACATTTTGTAAGTGTCCTTCCCCTTGGTCATTATTGCCTAAGCAGCATTTTAGTTCGAAAAACATGCATTTTGAGAACAGCAACTAATCATGGTGTAGAATTAGAATATATGACTAAATGACATAAGTTACACAATCTGACCTACAGAAATCTGCAGGATAGTGTAATAATTTGCATCTCTTTTTTTTGCACAGTGTTTATGGCTGTCCTTTGGCAAAAAAACGAAAAACACAAGATAAGCAACCCCAAGAACCAGCCCCCAAAAGAAAACCCTTTGTGGTTAAAGCAGACAACTCGTCGGTAGATGAGTGCTATGAAACTGATGGAACAGAGGAGATGGATGAAAAGGAAGAGGAAGAAGAGGAAGAGGATGAAGAGGAGGAGGAATATTCTGATGATAATGAGGAGCAAGGTGACGAGGAGGAGGATGATGAGGAGATAGATCGAGAAGAAGAAGAGGAGATTGAAGAGGAAGAGGAGGAGGATGAAGAGGAAGGTGAAGATGTGGAGGATGAAGAGGAGGAGGAAGAAGAGGAGGAGGAAGAAGAGGAGGAGGAGGAAGAACGTGGTAATAATCCGAGTATTAGTAAAAAGTAAACAATGTGTGTTTTCTGGGTTAATCTTCTAGTGTGGTGTGTGAGGATTTAGCTGTGCGGTTCTCATTAAAGCTAATGGAAGTCATGCAGTTAAATCTCTCGGCTCCACACTGAAAATATACCCCACTGTGTTCTCTTAACATTTATTTTAATAAGTCTGTCTTCCAAATATTTTTTAATACACCAGCACTCACATTTCAAACAAGGAGGGTGGAGGTGTGTTTGTGCTAAAAATGTTTGCATAAAATATAATCCTAGTAGTGGATTAATGCATGCAGTTACCAGGAGAATATTCACGAAGGTACAAGCAAAGCATCAGCTACAGCTGGGTGCCTGTACTGATCATTTGCAAGTGTATTTGCTGGATCTGTTTATATAATGTCAATGGTTGCCCACATAAATGCTGTCACAAGTTTGCAGATAATTTTTGTGAGCAAAAATGGGCCTCTTCCCTTTGAAAATTTTGCCCCATCCTTCCCCCTACCCCAAGAAACTAGTCAGAATGAACTATTATAATATACTTTGGTTCTTTGAGACTTGAATGCTGTGTACTTTAGTTGATTCTATTAAAAATATAGAGAGTGAGAGGTTTACATAGATAAAGTCCTTCTAAAATTCATATATTTTGGTTTTCATACCATGGCATAAATGCCATTTAGACATACAGGTCACTGGTAGTAACCAAATTAATGTAGTAGCAATGTGATTAACCTATTCACCTTTCTCTTTTTTGGGATATTGGACTCTGTATAACCAGTATTTTCAAAATATGTAATCAGTGTCCATTTACTCAAGAGTCCATATGCTGATGACAGACATCATAATGCACTGGGGTGAAATGAAAGAATCGTGCAAAAATTAATGAGCTATCTAAAAAGTATTTTGTTCCCATTTCCAGGGAACACGTTTTTGGTTGGGTAGATTCACCTTTCTAACCAATAAATATATAAGAAAAGCTTTCAGCACTCCTCAGTTGGATTCCTCTTAGGAACCAGGTATGAAAGTTGTGTGACTTTTGTTTCAGCATTCTGTAAGGTCAGATCTTAAATCTTATAGAAAGACTTCGGAAGTATTCTTTCCATTTGGGCAAGGTGGTGGCCAGCTGGGTGGCTATAAGCATTTTCTCAGATATTTGAACCTGTAGCATTTCCTCAATTGCTTAAATTTGCCAACAAAATTGGTAGAGCATAAATGGCCAATCTTAAAAGTTGCATGAGTTTGATGCAACAAGGAAGCCACTTCCTTTTGCAGGGAACTCTGCTGTTTCAGAACCTGGAAGAGAAGCTGTGTTAGATCAGGCTGATGTGCAACTGCTATTGCTATCCTGATGGGCAAGTGCAGGATGTCTAGCAGTTTCTTTAAGAGATAATGGTGACTGAGTTTGTTGGTGCTTAGGTTATGGTGCAACTGCTGCTGTGATTTCAGCTGATGTGAAAAACTTTGAATCTACACTATCAAAAATGATAAAAGGAAAAAAAAACCTAAGCAAAACTCAAGAGCTCAAGAAAATTGCTTCTGGCAACCTAGCAGGCTTGATACTCAGTTTACTTTTACTATCATAATGAAACACAGTGGTTTACTTACTCCAACACAGTTACACATGCAGTTAGTGGTCCTAATCAATCTACAGAGGCTGACATTGCTTTTTGACTGCTTTCCTTCCATATATAGTAGGCTGTGGTTAAGAACTGCAAAAATTTTATAGAGGTACCTGTTTTAGCTGCTCTGCATATTACATGGAATTAAAACTTATATAGGTCAAGTTTTTCTTAGGATCCCATGTTATTCCAGTAATAATACATATGTATATTAATAAATATATATATGTTCTATGCCAAATATTAGTCATTGAGAAAAAATCCTCATAAAATGGGAAAAGTGATAATAGAATTTTATAAGAAAAATATTTCATGATCTTTTGAGAATCAACGTAGTAATCACTATGCAACAATCCCAGTTAGAGCACAGCTGATTTACAAGAAAGAGTTACTAGCAATTGATGAGGAAGGTAGTATGAGTTCCTTATGTCTATGCCAAGGAGTGGAGAGTGATAGCAATTTGTTCTTGGTGAGGTCTAGAAGCTAATCAATAAATCAGATTTTTTTAGATAGTTTATTTCCTATTGATTTCGATAGGGATCCTGGTGTTTCACTTTCTTCTGCTCATAACATAAGCAGCTCTGGTGGAATTTGGACTGTTGATTTTCCAGGGAAATGAAGTGCAATCAAAGTTAGGTGTTCTAAAACTACATGGTCTGAATATGGCACTTGCCTTTATCTATTGACTATATGGGAAAATTAGGTCTGTCACCTCTGAATTTAGTTGTCTTAATCACTTGCTGCTCACTACAATGTAGATACTGTAGTAAACCACCATCCATCTTTTAAGGCACCTTAGCAGAAAGTCTGAATGTGTCTTAAGTGTTCTTATCCCTAGAAACAAAAGCAGAATTAGTCACTGGACACCAGGATGCCTGCACAGTTCTCATAAAGCTTTCTGTCACTTGTGCTGTAGATTATAGCAGTTCAGAAAATTTCCATAAGTAACTATGGACAAAACAGTTAAAATCATAAGTATCAGTGATAGAAGAATTCCATCAGCAAGTATAGGGCTACAGAGCCAGCAGTTAGTGGGGGGGAAGGGAAGAGAGGAGGAAGGTAAGGTATTTTACCGTTTCTCAGACGAAATTCAGTTTTCTGTTAGAAAAGAGTAAATCCTGTGAAACTCAAATACCTCACTGGCATCTCATTGCCCATGCTTTTGTTAAAAGCAAGTGAATTTTGGATGGGATTCTCAGAGGATAGAGATAATATACAGGTAATATAGGTATACAGTTCTTACTGAAAATACTTGGACATTCACCGAAACCATCTCGGCCTTTTTGAAAATCACATCTTTCTAGCCTCGTCACTGATAAGCTAAAGGACTTGGAAAATACAGATGTATCCTAAAGAAACACTCTTACAAATCTCAAAATACCAATTTAAAATAAAAAGAAAAAAACCCCAAACTTTTTTAGATGAGTCCCAAATTCTGTGCTCATATTTCTGTACACAATCTGTTGAACCAAAATTAATGCTTAAAATTCCCCAGCAATGGCCAGCATATCCTCTTTAAATTTCCATTAAATGTACTGAATCTCTTTGAAGAACAGATATCTATCCATCTATCTATGGATAGACTTGAGAAGCCCTTATGTTCAGCACCACCACTAAAGAAAAGATGAATCTTTCCAATTTCCCTTATATCCCAGAAAGGGCAGATAGATGACCTGTGTTATGATAACCTGTAAATTGCAATACAAATGTGAAGGAGTAAGAGAAAAGGCTGCTTTTGGAGTGCCCCTTCTCTGTGATGGCAACTGCTGAGAACCTTTGGACTGAAATCTGAAGGGTGCATTTGATTTGCAAGGCAAACTGAAGTACTTTCTCCCAAGAAGACCTCGCTTCAGGTATTTGGGTCCCAAAGACTGTTTCACAAAGCTTTTCTATTATAGAAAGAAATCTCCGTTGGAGGAGCTCCCGGAACAGATGTTCCAAGGCACCATTTAGCCCATTTCACATGAAGACATTCAAGATGGCTTGTACTCCAGGTATTTCATAATCTGCCAGGGGCAGGAGGAGTCAGGCTGATTCTAGACCTAAGGAAATTTGATACTTCAATCAAATCCATTTCACAGATGATGCTACAAAAACTATTGCAGTTTCCCAAGAGGTGAAATGGTAGGATGTATAAATCTTTTAGACACTGCCTTACATTTTCTAATAAACTCAAGGTAGCTGCCATATACAATATACCAATACGTGGTACTGCACCTAATTTTTCAGGTGGAATATACTGCAAAAATAGCTGTAAACCATAGGTAGCAGTGTATATTCACAGGAGACATAATACAGTTTTAAAAAATAAATGAAAGCTAGCACATGGATGTAGAGATAGATGTTCTACCTGGTTTTGCATTTCTTTAAATTGTAGGTTTTTAAAAATCTGGTAATATGTTTGGGGTTTTTCCTTCACTTGCATGAACTCGACACAGACACGTAGGCCCTCATAATTTGAAATCCACCTATCAGCTCTATTAAGATTGTTAGTGCCCTCCGCTATCTTCCTGATCCCCTCATCAGATTGCTTCTGAAGCACTTACGTCCTCTGAGCAAGAGGAGACGCAGACACCAATCTAAAGGTGAAAGAAGCACATGTGCTGGGGAAACTGTGGTGGCACACAGCTTTCCAGCTGTGCTTGCCTCTGAAGACACATCCTGGTAAAATAAAAACGACAGATCTATATTAGCCAGGTTGCCTGTCCAGCCTGCTGACCACTAATCATATTCATTTATTTAAATATTAGCAGGAAAGTGGTCATCTATTTGGTGAACACAGTAGATGTTCAGTATTCATCAGAGCAGAGAGCTAGACTCACGTGTACCTTACAGGCAAAACAACTAATAGAAGAAAATTATAGCTTTAAATTAAGAGGCCAGAAAGCATAATTTCACTGCTTAGGACAATGTACATGGGAAGAAGTGCATTTTCCAGGGCCAAAGAAGACTAAATAAATACCTGACAGTTTCACAAGGCGAAGCAGATCTTAACCCTTTGCTAATAAAATCTATTGCTGTATTGTTTCACCTCCTTCATAAAAGAAGATACCCCATGCTTAGGGTATCTCACCAATAACAATATGAAGAACAGAAAAAAATAGAGTTGTAGTTGGAAGACATTTATCCTGGCCATTGTGTTAGTTTCCTCTGGATAAGAAGTTAAAAGTTGCCTTTCTGGTCTAGTTACAAAGTGCTCAAGCCTGGGAGTGGTTGGGTCAAACCACAGCGTAAGAACTTTTACTGATGCCTTCTTTCTGCATTGAAGATGCAAGCATGGATTGCAACACGTTCTGCTGTTTAGCTGTTTATATTATTTCATATAGAGACATTCAGATTAAACATCTTCTCTGAAAATTTTTGTTGGAAAT